GGTTTTCTGTATTTAGTACAAAGGCATGACATTCTTTTTATTTCAAATGTTTTCATTAAATTTGTTTTATGTGCATTTTGCCTGTATGTATGTATGTGTATCACATGCATACTCACAGAGATCAGAACAGAGCATTGAATCCCTGGAACTGGAGTTACATGTGTGCTGCCGAGAATCCATCACGGAGTTACTGGAAGAGCAGCAAGTGCTCTTAACCATTGAGCATGTCTTTAGCCTCAGGAGTGACATTCTTTAATAGCCTGTCAACATGCCACTGTATAGTTATAAGATGACTTTTATTTTAGTTTGTATAGTTGGTTGATAGTTATTTTGTAGGTTATTGCTTTTCTGTACAATGATCATTGGATTTGTGCGTATCTTTGCATACATGGGCAATTCTATATGTAATTACATTCTTGAATTACCAAGCACATGTGTATTTCGTATTTAATAGAAATTTCCAAATATTGGTATAAGAAAGAAGTTTCAGTTTAAAATACAACTGCCAACAGTACATGAAACTTTGTTAATTTTTTTCTGAAGTTTTCGGTGGGCTTGTCAAATACTGTTTGAATACCTGCTATAGGTACAAGGGAAAGTGTTGACAGCTCAGAGACTGGGCCATAGGAAATACGGCTGTTTTGTTTGGCCTACTGATGTCTGTTAATGTTTTTATAATTTCCAAGTTTTAAACTTAGAGATTTCACATTAAACCCTCTAAATTTGACTTCCTTAAAACACTTGGCACATTTGCTATTCCTGGGTCTCTTAGGTTCTTTCCCTGTTGCTGTCATAAAATATTCAGGCGAAGTCAGCCTGGGGGTTGTGTGGCTCAGGTTTCTGTGGTGCTGTCCACCACTGCAGGAAGTGCAGGAGGTAGCAGTTTTGAGGTAGTTGGTTACATTGCACTTATGGTCTGGAGTCAGAGGAAAGGGGATCTATGTGTGCATCCTTTCATATTTCGTACAGCCCAGAATTCCCTTCTAAGGGGATGGTTCCACTTAAAAATGAGAGGACTTTTTCCATATCAGTTATATAATCCGTATTAATCCTTCAGTGTCTCATGATTCTGGATTCTGACAAGTTGACCATTAACACTGTCCATCACGGTGGAAAAGATAGATTTCCTCTTGGTAACAGTTTTCTAGAGTTGATAAACCTTGCCCTTTTCACATAATGTACAGAAGTTATTGTTCAGCATGACTCAACTTCCAGAGTCTTGTATTTGTCATCTAAGCACTTTTCAGACGTCGTATGAACTTGGTTGATCTAATAGATACTAAGATTTAATATGCCTAAAACTGAACTGTATCATCCATAGAATTTGTTGAGCATTACTCTTTTCTCATTGCTCAGGCTCAGACTTTGATGCTAACCTGCCCTTGGCTCTCCTTTTGCAATGTCTGAAAATTCTGTAGGTTGTGCCTTCAACTCAAATGAGACCAATTCTTGTACTTTGCACCTCAAATTTTGATCTCTGCCATTCTCATTATTTCACCTACATTGTAGTAGTGGCCTTCTAATTAGTCTCCACCTCTACCCTTCTGGTGACTTCTTAATGGCTAGGTAATCCTTTTAGATTTATTAGATTGACTTTCATGATAGAGCCTGCATAGTCCAGAAATTGCTGTCTTTACACTGGAGAGACTGAGAATCTGGTGGCAGCTCAGCCCACATGGCTCTATGTCTCAGCATCCCAGTCTGGTGAGCAGCTCCTGGGGATCCATTGATCAGCAGTCCATGTTGGAAGGCCCAGGAATCTGGGTCCCGGTGTTGGTGGAGAGTGCAAGGAGGACAGATGGCATCGGGGTCTGTCAGTTCATCCAACAGCAAACCCTTTGCTCAGGGCTGCTGATATCGGGGCCACCTTGGAAGGTACCCCACGTTCAAGGAGGGAACTCCCACTTCAGTTAACACAATCAAGAAAATCACACACAGGTGTTCCCAGAGATTAATGCACACAATTCTTCACAGTGCGCCTAGAGGTTTGCCTCATCGGTGGTGATTCCAGAGCAGTGGTTCCCAACCTTCCTAATGCTGCAACCCCGCAATACGTGTCGTGGTGACCCTCAACCATAAAATTATTTTTATTACTATTTCATAACCAATTTTTCTACTACTGTGAATCACAATGTAAATCCCTGTTTTCTGATAGTCTGAGGTGACCCCTGTGAAAGGGCTGTTTGATCCCCCCCCTAAAAGGGTCTCAACCCACAGATTGAGAACTACTTTTCTAAACACTGTCAGATATACAGTCACACCTGTCTTCTGCCCACCTTCAACTGCCACGTGTCCTTATCCTGCCCCTCTCCGTAGCGTTGTCCTTGTTATACCTTATGTGACTAGGATTTAAGATACAAGAGCTTTGGTGGTAATTTGCTGTTACATCCCTGAAATAGGGAGCACAGTTGGTACTCAGTAGGTACTTCCACTCAGTCCACAAGCAAATGAAGACATTGTATGTCAGAATAATTTTCTTGGCAAGTGTGAATGCCTGAGACTATGTTGACCTGGCTTTGAATTCTGTATATACCACTTTCTGGTTCTGGGATCTTGGATGGTATAGTTTCTCTCTTTCTTTTTTGATATGGAATAATTTCCTTTTATAAAGGCACATAACTCTTATTAGTCGTAGAGACTAGAGATGATACTTACTGATTCCCTTGTATTTATAGTAAACCTGCAAAAGTGAACCTTTGATCTTTTGCCTGTTTCTGGCATTTGCAGTTTTGTTTTGAAGCTAGTTACTGTGCAGATAATGAGTAACTAGTTTCTACAGATATTTGCATATATATATATGTTGATATGAAGCATTTCAAATATGTATAAAATTAGCATTTTTGAATAATTGTTTTAAGATTTTAAAAAGAGTTCTAATGCTTTTACTTAATCATCAGCTGGTTTAATTACCAAATATTTTCTTTTATTTATAAAACATTTGCTAGAATAATTGTTGTCAGCATATTATGGATGAAGAAACTGAGGCATAATGTAACTAACTTATTCCACTGTATATCTAGTGAGCGAAAAGAGGTTATGAACCTAAGCCACTGGGCTCCAGAGCCATGCTTGCTTCTGAAGTCACACTAGTTAAACTAGTCGAGAGCTGCAATGATGGCCTCCCTTGCTCTAGGGCAGAGGTTTTCAACCTTCCCAGTGCTGTGACCCTTTAATACAGAGTTCCTCATGTTGTGGTGACCCCAACCATAAAATTGTTTATAGTACTTTATAACATTTTACTGCTGTTATGAGTTGTAATGTAAATATCTGATATACAGGATATCTACAGTGTGATCTGGGGGTTGTGGCCCACATGTTGAGAACTACTGTTCAGGAGCAAACTGATAACATCTCCTCCATCCCCATCCTCTACAGAACCCACTGTGACCCCATGAACCAGTAATTACAGTCAGTCTGAATTTGTGTCTGTCATACCTATGCCACCTGTGAGAAACGAAAGATGGTTGTGAAAAAATAATATGTCCTATGCCAACACTGTGAGTTCCTAAAAAAATAAAATGTGCTACTATTCTCATATTTACCAAGGCACTTAGTAGATCTTTTTGGAACTTTTTAGTAGCCCTTTTACATACATTAGTCAGCTGCAAAGAAAGTAGTCTTATGAGGATGTACGTTGATATGTCCATTTAAATGAGTAAGGTGTAAAGAAATGAAGTTGTCCAAGTTGTATAGCTAGAAAGGCTAAAATGGAGGTACACTGACTCAAAATTTTGCTTCTTACTGACCAGGCACAACTCTGCTTAGCTTCTAAGATTTTTTCTGGGATTGAACATGTTCAGGGTAGTATGGCTGTGAACAAAATGGAATTCTAACAGTGCTATACAACAGTGGCCTAGTTTCCGTTTTATATAAATAGGGAGATTTATATCTCCCTATTTATATCTCCCTATTTATATAATACAAATATATATTGTATTTGTATACAATATATAATATATACAAATATATATTGTATTTGTAGCCAAAATAGTTTTCATAATTTGTTCTCTATAATGTGAATTAAAAATCTTTGTAATTATTTATAATAACACTAAGTAAATGAGAGAGAAAACCACAGTGTTTATCATTAGGAAATGCAAATATGGTAATTAAGTTAATTATAAAAATTAAAATACAGAGACAGGGAAATTGCTCAGTTGGAAAAGTGCTTGACATGTAAGTATGCTGACCTAAATGTGATCCTGGTTAAAAACAAGCAAAAAAACTGGACATGGCATGTACTTGTGATTTCAGTACCAGAGGAATCACACTCAAGCCTGATCATTGGTCACATGCACACGTGTGCGTGAGCTTGTTCACTTCTACCCACATGTATACATTTTTATATATGATGCTGAAGGAACACTGTGGCTCTTTTGCTTCAGTTCTATCCACACAACTAATAAAAGTGTCTTAAGATGATGCTACTTGGATATCAGATTGGGCCCTATTTCTTCTTAGATGACCTGTGCTTATGTGTTTCTAGTCAGTCTCTGGTAACTTCTAATGAATGCAAGTGGACTGATTTGAAGGCTTTGTTTCTGGAAAGTTGAAATTCTTGAAGATTGAGGCAGTGAACAATATTGGCATCAGGTCATGCATGGGCTTCTGACAAGTGTGATATTTGTACTCACAGAGAAAAATCAGTTGGCCTGAGTGACAGAATGGTTTAAAGCTCTGGCAGTGACCGTGGATTCACTCATGGAAGTATATTGTGCTACTTTGTTGTTTTCTTTCTTATCTAACTCTCACTTCTGATTTCACATTTTCCTTTATTCCTCTTTCCTTTGACTCCCTTTCTCACACTTAGATGATCTTGAAAAACAGTTTTCCACTTTGTATTGTAGGGAAGAGCTTTGGGGCGGACCCTAAAGGGGAGGAGTGAAGGTTGGTCACCTCACCCGTAAGCCATGTTGTCCTTGGCTTCATGCAATCCAAAGAAATGCTCCCCAGCATCCTGGAGCTGTGTTGTGGACTTACAGTTACTTGATTTGTTTTAGGAATTGTAGCCATGAATGAAGAGAACGCGGATGGAACAAACGGCTGCGGCAAAGTACGCACTGGTACTCAGAATGAAGCAGCCTTGCTGGCTCTGATGGAGAAGACTGGCTACAACATGGTGCAAGAAAATGGTCAGAGGAAATTTGGTGGTCCGCCTCCAGGTGGGGTTTGCTTAGATGTGTTTAAGTCTTTAGCATTGTTATTTAGATGAGGCATGTATTCTCACAAACATCCCTACCAGTCTCAGCTGTGATTTTGAAAGAAGTTATGCATTTATTTAAAACCTTGCTCTTGTTTAAAAAATGATTGAGAAATAACATGGTTTGGATTGAGAAATAAATCAGGATTCAGGGCATCAGAGAAAAGTAAACTCAAGGCATTAAGGACAAGTCATTTGGGGAGAAACTTGAAAGAGCACTGAGTAGAGGCCTAGTATTTATGTAATGAGATTCAAATAGGCACGGATCTTACCATTCGAACCATGCATTTCTTTGCTCAGAATCTCCAAATGAGTAAATAAAATGCTTGCTTCCAGCTTCCTTGGTTGCTGCATCACCTGTTTCTGTTCTCCATCTACAGTAGGCAGGAAGGCATCTGTATCTAGTTTTCTTATGCTCCGCTCGTAGCTTCATTCAGGTCACTGCATAAACTCTGTGCTCACATCCTCCGCTTTTCTTATATGGTTGTGTTTTCCTTACAGCATTTTATCATTCACACACTGTCTCTTGGAGTTTTGTTAGAATGAGTTTTACAAGGAAAGGAATTAATTTTTGTATCCTCAACACTTAGAATACTGCCTGCCATATAGGTGGCTGATATCGCCAATTTGTTGACTGAGTAAATGACTCAGTTATGAATATAGCTTTTTAGAATTTAATTTCCATTTGTTTATCTTTGTTTTCTCAGGTTGGGAAGGTCCACCTCCCCCCAGAGGCTGTGAGGTTTTTGTTGGGAAGATACCTCGTGACATGTATGAAGATGAGTTGGTTCCTGTATTTGAAAGGGCTGGGAAGATTTATGAATTTCGGCTGATGATGGAGTTCAGTGGTGAAAACAGAGGCTATGCGTTTGTGATGTACACCACTAAAGAAGAAGCCCAGCTAGCCATCCGCATTCTTAACAATTATGAGATTCGTCCAGGGAAGTTTATCGGTGTGTGTGTTAGCTTGGATAATTGCAGGTTATTTATTGGAGCAATTCCCAAAGAAAAGAAAAAGGAAGAAATCTTGGATGAGATGAAGAAAGTTACAGAAGGTGTTGTGGATGTGATTGTTTATCCAAGTGCAACTGACAAGACCAAGAACCGTGGCTTTGCGTTTGTTGAGTATGAGTCCCACAGGGCTGCTGCAATGGCCAGGAGAAAGCTGATTCCAGGTAAGATAGCCATTGCATAGGTTACTTTCCATATTCATCCCCTTATGAATATGGAAACACAGCAGTTAGTGATAGAGCAATGTTAGTGAGATATATGATGCCACTTGAAGAGGAGTGAAGAATTGTTTTAATGAGGAAGTAAATTAAATGATTATATGGTATGAGAAATTGTTCCTACAAAATGAGTTATATTTCTTAATTACTGAATATATATATACTTTAACTGGTAACTGTAATGTGTATATAATTTTAACTTTGTTAATTATGTTCAATAAGAATTGAGAGAGAGCATTATTTAATTCCAACAGTAATTAATCTTTAAAGTCTTGCTTGTGTTACCAACTCTTAAATTTTGTCATAAGTTCTGATTAGGTTTGCTTTAGTAACAACTTTGGTGTAAGTGGGCGTAAGTGATTAGTCAGAAATGTTGATATATGCTTGAGTTTCTTTAAGAAATTATTTTTTGTAGTTCTTTAAACTTGTATTCTTTGCTTTAGTTAACATGAAATCAGTTCATGAATTTTTTTTCAGGAACATTTCAACTTTGGGGCCACACCATTCAGGTAGATTGGGCTGATCCAGAGAAAGAAGTTGATGAGGAAACCATGCAGAGAGTTAAAGTTCTCTATGTAAGAAATCTAATGATTTCAACTACAGAGGAAACAATTAAAGCAGAATTCAATAAATTCAAACCTGGTGCAGTGGAACGAGTAAAGAAACTTAGAGATTATGCCTTTGTTCACTTCTTCAACCGAGAAGATGCAGTGGCCGCTATGTCTGTTATGAATGGAAAATGCATTGATGGAGCCAGTATTGAGGTAACACTGGCAAAGCCAGTGAATAAAGAAAATACTTGGCGACAGCATCTCAATGGCCAGATCAGTCCAAATTCTGAAAACCTGCTTGTATATGCTAACAAAGAAGAGAGCCACTCCAAAACTCTAGGCAAGACTCCAGCTCTTCCCACTCGCCTCAACGGTCAGCATAGTCCCAGCCCCCCTGAAATTGAAAGATGTACTTACCCCTTTTTTCCTGGAACAAAGCTTACCCCAATTAGTATGTATTCTTTAAAATACAATCATTTTAATTCTGCAGTGATGCATTTGGATTATTACTGCAACAAGAATAATTGGGCACCACCAGAATATTATTTATATTCAACAACCAGTCAAGATGGAAAAGTACTTTTGGTATATAAGATAGTTATTCCTGCAATTGCAAACGGATCCCAGAGTTACTTCATGCCAGATAAACTCTGCACTACTCTGGAAGATGCAAAGGAACTGGCAGCCCAGTTCACGCTGCTTCATTTGGGTAAGTTAGAAGACTTGATGTGTTAACATTAGAGAATACTGTGCTAGATTGATTATACAGTCATGATTTGAACTCTGAATGTCAGTAGTGAGTTTTTACCTTTTTCTCAGTTCTCTGAGATCAGAGCAGAAGGACCCCGAGTTCAAAACTCATAGTTAATTTTTATGAGACTTGACTCCTTTATAATTATCCTACATTTTGATTTTTAAGCACTACTTACTGAGAGGGAAGCTGAGCTTTGGTTATGGAGTTCAGGCCCCCTTTTCATTACTTAATTGTTTCTTAATGACTAATTCTCATTTGATAAAAATTTTGATGTATGCTACAGAATTTGTTATGTGAACCAATTTTTAATTCTTTCCTTACATCTTTGGTGATGTCTACACAATGAATTTTTTGGTGGAAAAGGTTAGAGATTCATAAAAATGACAGACTTTTCATGTGGGTCATGTGTAGACATGGCTTTACGCTCACCAATCTGGAAATTTGTCGTTACTACTCATGAAAGGTAAAAAGCATCATTAAGAGATGTTGATGACAAGTGTCTTCAAATTTCATGTTTTTAAAGAACCCCATTTTCTTAAAAGTTGGAGAGATGATATTAGGATATATAAAACATGCTTGCTTGGTAGTCTAAAGAAAAAGACACTATAACCCTCTGGGGCTGTCCTTATCTGTATTCTGTTTACAACACACTTTTATGGAGAAAAAAGATTGCCTGTTCAGTTGCCACATAGAGATAAGGTTCAGTATACAGTCTGGAGCTCTTCACATGAACTCAAGCAGGAAGCTGGAGGCAGGAGGACTTGAAGGAATGCTTTAGGGGCTCTGTCCCAATAGCTCACTCAGTCTGCCTTCTTACAGCACCCAGGGCTGCCAGCCCAGGTGTGGCACCATTCACAGTGAGCTGGGCCTTCCCATGTCAGTCGTTGAAGAAAATTACCATAGGCCAGTTAGATCGGACATTTTCTCAACTGAGTGTCTCTTCTAAGAGTCTTAGCCTATGTCAAGTTTACATAAAATTGGCCAGCACTCTGGTAGATGAGTTCAGCTTGTCACATTGTGACACAGTATTGTCATATACAGAGTTCACACTGGAGAGCTGCACAATTGAGGTTAAAAAATTCCCAAACAAATGTCAATGTTTAGAGTAAGTTTACAGTTTTGTGTTTGGCTCTGTGCTTAGCAACACCAGGATGTATGCATTTTGCATGCCACAGATTAGCCACCTGCTAAAATGTGTGTGCAAATGGCTTAAATCACTCATTTTGGAGTTTATTAGTCTTGTATCAGAATTGTTAATTTAAAAATATAGAAAAGTTTTCATTTTTATGTGTTTTTCTTGTTTGTGTTTAACTGTGGAGAAGAATTAATAGAATATGATTAGTATATAACTGTTAAAAGAAATTGGCCTGTATTAAATCCTTAGACTTTCCAAAAACATTACAGTAAACACTGGAGCATATTTGGGCCCAGTAACCAGGTCTGAGGCTCTGAGTGCTGTACAACTATGCTTTTTGTGCTTGACTAAAGTGTAAATGGAGGCTGTTGAAAATATTGTTAAGGCAAGCAAAGAACAGAAGACAAAGGAGGTGGAAAGTCTAGACCAGGAATCTAGAAAACCTTGGTCAGAGAGCATAGGTGAGGCCTTTATGAAAGATCTTCAAGCAGGGTCAGGCAGTGTGTGTAGACAGGAGGTGCTGTGTACCATGTGGCTGTTAGGTAGTGGTGTCCTGTCTTGATCTTTCCTCAGTAATGTTGGGTCCTCAGCGGCAGATATTAAAAGGCTGACGCCTTCCTTCCCAGTACTTTTTACCCGTAGGTAGAAGGGAAGTATTTTATGCCACACTTGAGACTGGCAGTAGTTGGTGGCAGTGATGTGTCCTAGAGAGGGTTGGTGAGGTGATGAGTGTTCTCATTCTCTTCTCAGTCTGCTCACCACTGGTTTTTTCCTGAGATTTTGAGGGATGGTTACTGAGTCTTAAGAGTGCTTCAAATATTTCTTTTTTTTAAACTATATTAATACATCTTTTGGTTCCATTTTTAAAAAAGCATTTCAGAAATATATTTTTGCAGATAGTGCCAGTTACTTAAAGATAATTTCTTCGGACATAGTAATTTCTCTTACAGTTTGCTATGATACTCCTTTTAACTCTGCCAGTTTAGTTTCTTTTCCTTTTCAGTCATCATTATACAGTTTTATTTTGGTTATTTTCTTTAAATGACATTGCTAAGCCAGATACTTATCACCAAGCTAAACCCAGTTTGATATAGTAAGCTTTGACAATCTTGTGATATCTTGGATTTACTATCCCCATATTTCAAATTTGAAACTTGAATGGGAACTAAAAGATGTTCTGTGTTTCAGTGATCATATTTATTTTAAAGAAAAGATGCAGTCCTTTAGGGATAGTAGATAGCTGAATGAGTTTTAGAAGCCATCTGTTCACTTCAAGTGACTCCTGATTCAAAGAACCTCGTAGTGGTTAATGTATAGATTTTTGTCCCTTCTAAAGCCAAGTCTTTTCTGATTAAAATGCTTTAGTAGAAAGAAAGCCAAAAGGGGGTTAAGAGTTAATCTCTAATATTGCCCTCTTTATTTGCACCTCAAAATTAGAGCCTGTCTTCTATCTTCATGTCAGAGTAACCTTCCTCATCTCAGTCATCCAGTCGGAAAGACAGCAATGCATTCATTCACTTAGTTTTAGAAATACAGTGCTTTTTTTAAAAAAAACTACAAATACTTCCATTTTATTTTATGTGAAATAAGTATGATATATTTAGTGAGTTTACCTGTTTTTGCATCTATGTTTCTGAGACCGGATCTTGCCCTGTTTACTCAAACTGTCCTTGAAATCACTGAGTTTAGTGGGTCAGATGCAAGTGTGTATGTTAGGATAACAAGTTTTATACTTAACGTTGGGTCAGTAGCAACGTTTGAGATTATTGCGTATCACTTCTTTTTAAATATGACTCTCTTTTGAACCTGGACCTGTCAATATTGCAATTGCTTTTCTAGATGATTATGCTTTTTCAAAAAAAATTTGCTGGACAATAAGATGATGATGAAGAGAGATAGCCAAGCATGGTGCACCTTTCCTGTTTCCCTGTGTGATGTTCACTGATAACTGTAGCAGGGTTTTGTTTTTCTTTTATGACCACTTGTTTTTAAAAACAGGGATGAGATTCTCTGTTGGAAAGTTCCTTGTGTCACTTCAGGTTGCTTTGGGAAGGTTTGCTTTGGTGATTTCTGCAAGATTTTAAGAATTGAGGAAATCGAGAAGATGTGGCATAAGTTAATTGAACACTGGTTAGTTTTTCTGTTTGAAACTCTTATCTGGCTTGTGTGCTGCTCTTTGGCTATGACCAGTGAAGTTCAGAGTCAAGACAGGCCTCTTGCAGGTCTCCTGTGTGTTAGGATACTTTCTCAAGCTTTGGGAGTTAAAGATTTTTTTTTTTCTTGAGGGGTCAGAGTGCAGTGAAGAAGATAGATGCATAAATTCTATACATATGCTGTTTGGGGATAAAGGGAAGGCTTCAGCTTCTGCTCTCTGACTTGTAAACCTTTTTTTTTTGTTAAAGGTTTATTTATTTATTATGTTTACAGTGTTCTGTCTGTAGGCCAGAAGAGGGCACCAGATCTTATCACAGATGGTTGTGAGCCACCATGTGGTTGCTGGGAATTGAACTCAGGACCTCTGAAAGAACAGCCAGTGCTCTTAACTGCTGAGCCTTCTCTCCAGCCCCCGACTTGTAAATTTTAAGAAGAGTTTCTGAGCAGAGCGAGGAGCCTTGAGATGCCTTTCTAAAAGATGCACCTTTTAGAAAAGCAGCATGGTGGTGGGCTCATACCAGGGAACTCTGGTCAGGTTTACTTTAATGATTTCTAACAGATTTTGGGAAGAAATTGAGGAGGTGTAGTATTAGTTAATTGAACTTTCATTCATCTTTCTGTTTAAAACATTTTACATGATTACTTTCTTGACTGTACTTGCTCTTCCTCTGAGCAAGTAATTTTTTTCTAGATAATTTTAGTTTGTAGAAACATTTCATGTGTCAGTGTTTGTTTTTAACAACACTGCTTTTCTCAGCATTTAATCTGCAACTGATATGTATTGTGTCTTGTATTTGATTTGCAATGTTACACAGGGCTTATTTTTTCTAATTGTTTAATGGAATTTTGTAAATACTTTATTTTCTGTCTTCACATGTAAATTAGGGTTTGATTTCTCTATGTCACACAATTTTGGTTAGATGCCAAGGGAAAAAAGTGTCACTGTTGTGAGTCTTTTACCCAAAAGATAATTGGTGCTTTTTTTCTCATGAGCTGTTATTTCCAGATTGATGGGCAAAGTATAAAACATAAACAGCATTTTAGATTTAGAAAATTTGTCAATAAATTGTTTAGAAATAGAAAACTTTAGTTTTTTATTAAATAATTTTAATAGATATTTAAGCTAAATATAAAATAATGGTTATATTACAATGGAACTTTTCTTTATAGAGAAGAAAACACTTTCAAGGTGTATTCCTTCTAGATTTAAGGGAGAGCTCTTTCATACTGTCTCAGGCCGATACTTAAAAGAGTTGAACTTGTTTTAAAATGCACCTAAGTGAGAAGAGAAGTAGCCCTCAGCTTTAACATTGTCAGTTTTCACTTTTTACACAGCTCACTTTCACATGACCAAATGATAAGACCCAAATTCCATGAACTCAACTATGTGTCTCTGACCCTTGAAGAGGGACTAGTTCTTTTGAAATGGATGCATATATTCCAATTGGAATTTTCTTTTTTTTAAGATTCTTTGATGACCTCATATTTATCTAATTCTCATCTTGATAGCACTTATTTTAATTAATGGGCCACAAATACTTAATTTAATGTAAATGAAGCGGCTTAGTGGAGAGCTCAAACGAAAGCACAAGAGTCCTGCCACCCAAGCATCAACGTTGTGAATGCACATGGGCTCTGAGTCATCTGGTCTCAGACTTCAGTACCT